TGCGAATATCTTTTCGGTTAAAGTTCGAATACTTTGGTCATGTGCGAATATCTTTTCGGTTAAAGTTCGAATACTTTGGTTATGTGTGAATATCAGTATTTGAGTTTTTTCGTTGAGTTTTTTTCAAATATGAGTTTTTTCAAACCGATAAAAGTTGGAATACTTTGAATACTTTGAAACCATTATGTCAATTTTGTAACTTTATTTGATAAATTATAATTTGTATAATAAAAAAAAATAAAATAAAATAAATTTCAAACTATTTAAAAAAAATTTTACATTTGCCAGAGATTGAAATAGCATCTTTAATAATATTAACTCGACATTCTTTAGTTAATTCAATATTATCTATCATATTAACATTTTTTTCTTCAGATTCTGATTTATATTTTTTATTTTCGTAATTATTTTGAGTTTCAATTTTTCTTTTATTCGGTAATAAAGCTTTACCCATTTCAATAACTTCTTCAATTTCACATTCAGTAATGTATTCTTCATCAGTAATATCTTCTTCATTCTGAATTTGAACAGGTTTAGGAATTTGAACAATTGCTATTTCGTTATTTTGAGTTGTTAACTTATTACTTTGATTAAGTTTATTCTTTTGAATAATTCTTTCCTTTTCTTTATTAAGATTAAATTCTTTAATTTGATTTCGTCGTGTTTCTTCTTTTTCAATAGCTTGACGGTATTCTTCTTTATAATGAGCTGCGAAATGTTTTTTAAGGTTAGAAAGATTAGTTTCATTGGATAATTTGCTTCGCAAATATCACAAATAAGAGTGTTTTTAGAGTGTTGGCATGAAAATAATTTCGAAGTTCATGTGTATTACGCATCTTGTTATTTTAATAAATGTACTTTCTTTTTGATAATGAATTTTTTCTTTTATTTCAATTTTAATTGATCCCTTAAATATTTCAAATCAGAATTTTACGGATTTGGTAAATATTAATAATTATATTTCCAAATCAGAATTTTACAGATTTGGAAGTTGCACAAATCTCATTTAACCAAATCAGGAATCCTGATTTG